AAGCACATATCCCGCAGCTAAGTAATGTCAACCAAACGGGCTTTCCTTAATTTTTTTTGCTTACGACTTAAGCCTAGAGCTCTTTTGAAGAATTATTTCACAGAAATTTATATTTTCAAACCCAAATCGGTCCCCTGAACTTACATTTCCTATAAAAGTTATGTTTTCGATTCTATTTTTTTGTACTTCGCTAAAACTCTGCGACTTACGTTGTCACACCAAATCTCATTTCTGCTCTAGAACTATATGAGCCACTTAAGTATTTGCATCACGCTCAGCTAATGTTGGTTTATCGCCTTGCTGCTCAAAGTAAATCCGAGGCAATGATTTTCGAGGCTGCCAACAGAAAAACTATGAAGATTAAACGATTTTTGCTGTTCTGTTGGCTACGCGTTGCCAAAGCGACGTTTGAGTACGTTTTGCGACAGTGTACAATTAATATTTTCTTTTTTTTCGACCAGCGAAAGTTTAAGGATTTTTCGTTTTTTTTTTTTTTTTTGTTGTAATTTTGTTTATTTCTTTCGTTTTTGATATTATATTTTTAATTTTTTTTTAAATTTTTAGATTGTTTTTTTTTTTACTTATTAAACATTTTTTATTTTATTTTTTATGTTTTTTCCATTTTTTCATCCTTTTTGCCTTTTTACACATTTGGAAATTTTCTGCTTGTCGCTTCAAGTAGCTTTGTGCTCATCTCGTCGCCGATTTTCTGCCATTTTGGCATACCTTTCGCTACATTCCACAAACTTTCACTCGTTTTCGATCTGCTTGTCAGTTAGCTGATTTCTCTTCTTCTGCAGCGCACACCGCGCCCACCGTTGCCAATGCGCGTCGTCATGTACAAGATTATCCTTTTAAATTGCAATGATTACTTTTTGGTCATTGCACACAAAGCCACAAACACTCACACAAATGCATATTAAGTCTGTAACTCTGCAAGTCAGCATGAAAATACAGCCAAATGAATAACTAACTCGCCGCGTTATAGCCTGCGAATGAGAGTTGAGTGTTTGTGAAGTTTGCTGCATTGCGCCTTGTTGTGCAACTAGTTCAACTGGCGGTCACACAACAACAACAAACACTAGACTAAACTGTGAATGATATTATTTTGCTATTTCCCATACTTTCATTCGCAATCACACAAACGTTGCTCTGTTGGCGTTGGTTTTTCGCTAGCCACCCCGGCGTATACGTAACGTTCACTTTGACACCAACTTAGTGCGTGTGTGTGTGCGAATGAGCGCTGCATTGGCCCCTCTAGCGTGCTGTCACGTTCACTGCCTGCTATCACTGCGAGACAGCGCAATCATTCAAGCCAACAAGCGAAAATATTTATATTCATGTCGCGGTGTTGCGAATGGCAGCGCGCAATGACTGTCCGTCGCAGTGCTGCTTGTTGTTATTGCAATTGTTATAGTGCGCTACGTATATTTGTCTGTGGCACAATCAGAAACGTGTTAAGAAATACTTCATGTTCCACTTGCTTGCCGCAGCTTCACATTCACAATCCCAGTCGCGTCGAGTTAAAACCAGAACAGTCAACAGAGCGACTAGCCCGTGCGCTATTTGGACATACAGTCCTTGGCCACTGCTGCAGCGTGAAATGGACTTGACCGTTCATGCTTTTTCCTTTAGTGCGCTTTTAATTTTTTTCGTTTTTAAATTTTTTGTAATTTTTTTTTATTTTTTTTTTCCTTTTTGTCTTATTTTTTCTTTTTTTTCATTCTATTTTGCTTCTTTTCGTTGTTGCTGTTGTTGTGCTCGTATTAAATGTCATTTCACATTTCGTGACAAGTCGGCTAATCTGACTGGAAAGTTATTTATTTCGCCTCACTGCATCGCACTGCGGCGCTTGTGCACCACCCTCCTCACCTCAACACACCGGCACTCACACATTCAACTTTACTGTTTCGTCTGTAGCATTTTTGCATTTGAAAAATTTTTATTTTTCACTTTCGTGTGACCCGTTCGCACCTGCTCTCCCACTTGCGCCGCTCTTCCTCCCCAAATACGTGCATTTGTAGTGGTGCATGAGTTGAGAAAAATTTCGTTTACTAAATGCATCCATTTTCTTTTTCGTTGCTTCCTCTCCGGAATCATTTTCCATACCAAAATTTCGTCTGAAACTCTTTGCTGTTTCGCTGTCCGCAAAAAAATTACTTTCTATTAAATTTACGTCTTTTCCATGCAAATTTATAGTGTCCACGTTGCACTTCTTTTTGCACTTCTTCAAATGCACCAGCTGATTAGGAATATAATTGCGGAAAAAGAGAGCAATAATGGTAAAGTAAATAAATTTCTGCACTATTAAATGTATGGTGTCAATGAGTTTGCAGTTTAAAAAAAAAAAAATATTTTGCATAAATGACAGAAAGATACAATCAGTAGTGATTTTGTAAGCTTTTAGTACACAGCATACTTTTGGGAGCGCAATAAGATTCCAACGGTAATAGTAATTTTTACTTTGCCAAATTAAATAAAGTTGTGGAATTATCAGGAATTTTAATGATTGCGTACTATTTTCTGTGTTTGAGTTTACTACGGAATTTCAAAGTATACCCTTAGGCGTAGTTTAAATAAAACTTTTTATGAAATAAGCTGCTTTTAAATATATTCAGAATTAAGCCACTTACTATGCTTATAGATTGTATTGATACTCTTAGGTAATGTACTTTTTTTCTTGTTGCTTCTTGTAGTTAGACAAAATTTCAAAATTATATTTAAATTTTATATTGCAACACAAATTTAGAAGTCAGGACGAACAGCGATATCGTCGCGTACGCTGAAGTTCACTTCCAATATTGATATAAGCGGGCAATGCTTTAATAACAAATATAGTTTATATCTCAAAATAAAAAGTATACCTTTAGGAGCGCGTGAAAAAAATTTCTTATAAGATACCTCTGTCAAAAATACATTTTTGTGCTCAAATAAGTCTCTTTCAAACCAAATCCATTTTTTACTTTATTTTAACCTAGATTTAACTGCCATTCAATAGCTTATATAATAAACTTATTATTTTCTATTGAATTTTTACCCTTATGTTATTATTTCGTTAAGTGTGGTGGCAAATTAACTTAATATTTATTTTAAAAAGTTTACATTAAAAACATTTAAATATGACATAACTTCCTTCCTACCTTCCTTTCTAACTTTTTTCTACTTTAAAAAAATTGTTTAGATATATCAAACGACAAACAAACAAACGAAGCAATGTATGAATTTTTTTCTTCAAATAGTTAATTTGTGTGATTTAAATAACTTTGAAGTGTTCCTTACATGCTTGCTGGTGTATTTATTGTCTACAATTTTGCTTCGAATTACGATAAAAGATACAAATCTCTTTCAAAAAATTACTTAATGATCGGCAAGTGAACAGAAAGTGTCCGCTACAGTAAAATCATCTTAATATGGGACGATTAAGTACCAAATCCGCTAAACAATAAACATGTTTGGGCCTGAAAGTCGCAGCGGACTTACGTAGCTCTGTTAAATATCCAACCCGCCAAAGTATTTTAAGAAGCTGAAATTTTTCGTAAAGCATTTAAGCGGGTTCTACTGGAAATGGTTGGAAATTTATTGAAATATAAATTGAGTAGATGTGAAGACATTTAGAGCACTTTTTAAGTTTTAAATAGTAGTACTAGCATATACAGGTTCTTTATAAGTTCAAAATTTACAACTTCTTTTATTTTAAGGTTTGTTGCATACTTTATGGTGATAAGATATTTGAAATTAAAATTTCTCACCCGAACTAAGTAAAGTTCGCCTGCAATTAAATACAAATAATTAAGAATATTCATCTACCAATGCGCGAAACTTTCACACAGAATACATTTATAGCATACTTCAGGGCGCTTAAGGTACTTGACGTTAAAGTAACTAAACAACATTAATGAAATAATGTCACTACTGTGTAAACTTCTTCGGCAATTATATCTAAATACATGTTAGATTAGTTAACTTTAACATACTTTATGGCGTTTAAGGCTTTTGAAGTTAAATTCAGTTGATAGTGTAGCTATTTACATATCTCACATCGCTTTAGTTCACAAAAATGTTACTATAAAATGCGAATATAGTATTTCATCCAAACCAACAGATCCGCATGCTCCTAATTTGTGTTATAATTCAGGAGTGCATGGGTGTGTTTGCTCATTTTTTACACTTTGATTGCTGAATTATTGCCGCATTCACAATCAGATACACACACACATGCTGCTGTAGTTGCACTCATACTCACACGCAGATATGAGCGCATTTATTTGAAGTCGCCCTAAGCAGTTGTGAATTGCGCTACTGACAGGCGGGAACAAGCCACTCAAACAAATTTAATGCGCCAACACACACACGCACACTTACACCAATATAACATAGTGATGTATGTGAGTTTGAATGTGTTGGTACGCGTGTGCGGCTTTGTCAGTCGAACAATAGTTGCGGTGCGACAATGCACAGCTACTTAAGAAGACAAATTGATGTTAGGCGACTTGAGAAATAAAAATGCTGGTGCCAGTTGAGCTGACTACATGCGATTGCTGACAGTCAGCAAAAGCTAGCGCTTTGTAAGGGATCTATAGTAAAGGAGTACAGACCTTTTTTTTTTTTTTTTTTTTTCAACTACAAAATTATTTCTCTCACGACTTTTTTGTGAGCGTAATGCATGTGTGCTAGTGTAGGTATATGTGTGTATTCCTATGTATGCGTAAGTCTGTCTACAATTGCAGCTGTGTGTGTACTCTAGCGCATAATTTACTGCGATAATTTATTAAGTTTACATTGCCACAATAAAGCGACGAGTATGTGCATATCCCTATATATGAGTGTGTCTGTGTGCACAGTAATCAAGCGATTAAGTTTATTACTTAGGAGTAACTTTTATAAAAAGAAGCGCAAATTACTTAAGCTTTTCCGCAACTACTCACTACGTCAGCAGCGAATTCTCATATTTTTATATAATTTTTCATTTTCTCTTTTTCTTTCGCTTCTTCCCGTTGCAGGGTCGCTGTAATCGTGATAAACCGCCGTGCAAATATTTTCATCCACCACAGCATTTGAAGGATCAATTATTGATAAATGGACGAAACCATCTTGCCTTGAAGAATGCACTGATGCAACAGATGGGTATGGCAACTGGACAGCAAGTCATACCGGGACAAGTGCCAGCCGTGGTGAGTTTAAAAATAAATAATGAGCTTAGTCCGTAGACAATGCGTATGTTTTTTGTAAGCGCTGCTTACATTCCATAATATCATGCTTATAAGCATACTTGTAGGAGCTGTAATGCAAACTATTCCACATGCATTCAATATCATTAGTAGACAAGTAAGAAGATAAAAGGGCAAGTCCGCATGATTTTCCATAAATCAACGAACTGGCACTTGTGTGGCTTAGAATAGCAATGTACATAGAGAATTTTAATGAAGGAATTCAAGTGCTCGCTTCAGAGCTTACTGAATATATAAGAGTTATTGCATAACTTGCGGCTGCATTCAATCAGGGGAATACTGTAGAGAATTTTAGATTTTTGTGCGATCGAAAAATTGTACGGAGGTTACATGGAAAACTTCCTCATTTGAAAAGATATATTTACACAATTTTGCATGAATAATTCCTTAAGATACTCGTACCCTTCGAAGAAGCAGCTGCCACACAAACTGATCGATGAGTTAGCGAGATAAAAAACGGAAAAATATAAAAAAATAAATCCATCTCTTTTTTTATGATACAAATTATTTGTTGATTGATTTGAGAAAAAACTTCAAACAACAACAACAACAAATTTTCATTACCGACAGTTACTTAGCAGTTAATTAATTTTTCGTGCTTGAATGAAAACAACAACGTCAATGGATATGGAGTGTACTCCTAAATTCCCAACTCAGCGAGAATTTAATTTTTCGCCAAATAACTTTAAATCTATCACTTATTTAGTGCATAAATACTGAAGCATATTTTTCAAGCTGTCATTAGCTCCAACCACCACGCTCCCTCTTTGTGCTGAACTCGGCACACTCTAAACTTCATAAAATATTTCTGTCACTCCTTTTCAAAATTAGTCAGCAGGGCAGTTTGGAATTATTTTTCGCAACGGAATGCATTATATTAATTTAAAATTCCAGCAACCGAATGACATTGACACATTCTCACTTCGCACTGCAGCATCGTTCGTTTACAAGTCCTCCAAACGAACCCAACCTACGTCGTCTTCATGTTCATCATCAGCTATTCATCAGCTGTCAAAGCTGGCGAGCGGAAAAAGTCGAAATGCGTATTTAAATTAAAATTCATAATAAACCGTCGCAGTGCAGTGGATGGAGTGACAGCGCAGGCTGTTAATAGCAGCCAACAGCTACGAGCCATTGGCGACTAAATACTGTCATTAACGGGGCGCACACTACTACAGCTTTTCCTTACCTTATTGCCGGCTAAATTACTCATTGTTCGTGTACATGCAAGCAGTAACTGTCTGTGTGTTTGTTTGACTGTCGTACAGATGAATAACAAATCCATCATTTTCATTTAACAACAATGTCAGTTGGCAGGCGTTTTTGTGGGAAGGGATGGGGCATAACCCATTAGCGCACCCGGTACATATGTTTGGCTAAGTGGAACTTTGCATATACAGTATAAGTTATAGCCGTTTTGCTTATTTATGACAAATTGAAAGCTTTAAAGCTCGCGAAGACAGCTTTATCATAAAACTCAAATTAAATATTTGCATGTATGAAAATATGCTTTACAAATTTTGCCTAAAAAAGTTTGGTTTCTTTATAAAAGAAACTTTGTTAATTTTTTGAGAAGTTCAGTAATTGTTAGGTGTGGCGTATGAGTACTTTGCTCATTTGATGAGGAATTGCCTATAGTACTATATATTATAATATATGTTGGGTGTGGCGTATGAGTAACATATCACTTGGATACCAGTTTTCAATACTTCTTGTATATTTTCGTACAGATAAACATATATTGAATGGGGGTTACCTATTTTTAGTTATTTATATTATGTAGCTGTTATTGTTGTAAGATTTGCAAAATTCAAATATACTGATATATACATATAGTACATATGTACTAAATGTATAGACCGTTTTTTAAATACATTTTAGTCATCACTTCAGATACTTTGCTTTACTATTTCTATCTGCCATCCCATTTTTATTTTAGTTCGATAAAATTTCACTTAATTCTTTTGATTGTAATTTTTATTTGTTCAAATTTATTTACAAAATTATTTTACAATATTTTTTTTACTATGATCTTATATTCATCTCGCCACTCCTCGGCTCCCTCGTGTCGTTTCATTAAAACTTAATCCAATATATATCGGAAATCTATGCAATAAGAGTTGAGGTAGAAACTAACAGTAAATATGCGTAGTAACCGCACGCGTTATTCATAAGCAGCTAAAAATTATTGTTAAGTAATATTAAAAAAAGATACCTACTTTAGTAATTATTTTTCAGTTTGGCCCCAAAATGATTGTTGTTTATCTTTCTCTCTTTCTCTCCCTCTCTTTTTCTTTTCATTTTTTTCTTTCGTGCTAATCTCATAGCCTCTTGTTTATTCACAGGCCACAAATCCCTACTTAACCGGCATACCGGCCAATCCGTACCCTAGTCCATACTATGCGCCTGGAACTTTAGTGCCTGCATTACTCGGACCAGATCACACACAGTTGGGTCAAGTGGTGCCACAAACGGTACAAGTGGCACAGCAGAAAATCCCACGATCCGATCGATTAGAGGTGAGTCCAAGGCATTTCAAGCAATTTCATTTTTAATTTCTGCTTTTAGTATACTTATAAACATAAAAAAAAATTACAAAATCAATATTATTAATAATATATTAAATGCTTTTGTTTGTTTGTTTCGAGAAGCAAATAACAAACAAATAAGCAGTTACACTAATTTTAAGGTTAAGTTTTGAGTGTTTAAATTTGACTTTTGTTCTGCAATTTCATTTGAATGAGTTGTTTTAGACACTTCTTTAGTTACTGTTTATTAATAAAAGATATTTTAAATTAATTTAGCATGAAGTGTTATTTTTGTTATTGTTATATGTTGTGTGTGTTTAGTTTATTTTTATTTATAATTTATGAAAACTGTTTTAATTTTATTGACTTAAACTTTTTATTATAAATTTCCAAATTTTTTACTAAACCGATTTTGGTATAATTTTTAAAGCAACTAAGTTTAACTCGTGTATTGAACTTATTTTCAAATGAAAAACTATAATTTCTTTCTTTCATACATTTTTCAAATACATTGGTTTTGCTATAATTTTTATAGCAACTTAATTCTTCTAGAGTCTGATCACACTTTCTGTAGTAAATTTTCCACTTTTTCAGCTAAAATGGTTTTGCTATAATTTTTATAGCAACTAATTTTACCGTTAGTAAAAATTCCTTATCAGATGGTAATTTAGATATACTTTCTGACAAAGCTTTCCAAATTTTTCAACTGAAATGATTCTGCTATAATTTTTACAGCACTTATGACATGTGCATTCAAATTCTTTATCGGTTAACAATTAATATAATACAGCGACTTTATATAAATTTTAACTTTTCAATTTTATTATATCGAATACATATGCATACAAATGTACATATACATATGTATGTATGTAAGTATAATGTTGTAATTCTTCATAATATTAAAATTTCAATTTTTCAACTGAGAGCATTATGACTTAGTTGGTAGTACATTATTTTCAGGTTTATATGTGTGCACAAATGTCTCAAAAATCCTAAGTAAGTCAGTTTACATGTTTTGCTATAATTTTTATAGCAAACTAAAATATCCTCAAATCTTACGATATGTTCATATGATTATAGCGGAATTAGTAAATTTAAAGTTGCTATAATTTTATAGCTCATACTTGTAAGCCATCTCGTTGTTATCCAAATGCTTTGGTAATCGATAATATTTGACTCAGACATACGATTTTTTAAAAAAAATAAAAGGAAAACAATGATAAAAATAATTATGCGTATAATTTTTTTTTTATATACAATGTCACTAATCCTTATATTTATTTTCTAAATTAATTTTTTTTATTTCTTAGTTCTTAATGTAAACATTTAGCGTATTTTTAATAACCTTTATTTCGCTTATTTACTTTTTTTATTTTATATTATTAATAGGTTTTGTAAATAATTTTTATATTTATAGATTTTGTGTCGATAATATTTACCAACGACAGAGTTTATAGGAATTTTAATTAAAGTTTGTTTATTGAAAAAAAAAAGTAATAATAAATAAGTTGATCACACATTCGTAAGTTTTTATCTTTTAAAGCTTCGTCAGCCAAATTTACAAATTTATTCTGTATATTTATTGAAACTTTTTTTGCAAAATTGCATTATTATCCAATCGCGGTCTTTCTCGAGCCTTAAGTTTCTTTTTATTAATTTCTTTTTTAATATCTTAAACTTTCGCTGCGCTCTCCGCTGCCCAAAGTAATTATAATGTGAAATTTGCTTTTGCTCTGCGCGCGTTTCCCCACTCACTTCACACCCGAAACAAAAGCCCAAGGTACTCTCTAAGCAAAAGAAGTCTCGAAACAGCGGTAACCCATTTTTCATAAAAGAGTTTTTTTACTAAAGTTTTTTTTTTAATATTTTGATATATTTGTCATAATTAAAATCGTATACGAGTATACTAAAGATTGGAATTTATTATTGTTTTTTTATTACTAATATTACGCAGTTATTTTATAATACAGCAAATATCTAAAAAATGCAGTTTTATTTTTATTTCAAGTGCCAAGAATTTAAAAAATAATTTTTTTTTTAATTTTTTGTTTATTTAAGTTTTAAGAAGATTTGAAATCAGAAACCAAAAAAAAGTCGATATTAGGTTCTAATTTTAATCGAAAAATAAATTATCTATTTTAAATTGTTGGTAATAAGAAAATATTTATAAAATATTGTTCAAATTCAGAAAACAAAACAAAAATACTGTTATTAAAAAGTAAATTATTTACTTTAAATACTTAATATAATGTTTATGTGTGTATGTTTTTTTATTTTATTTATTTATTTGTTTGAATGCTTCATATATATATTTTCGCCAATTACTTGTCGCTATTGTGTTTCTTAACTTTTTGTTATTGTTTTTGTGTTCGCGAACATGCAACTAATTCGCTGCGATTGTGTTTATTATACAAATTATATATAGTACATAAATCTGTAAAGCAAAGGCAAACATTGGCTTGTCGAACGGTTAAGCGCCTAAATTGAAATTACCGCTTTGAAGCGCCTAAAATTATACTACAGTGCGTGTATAATTTGCTACCGCAACCACTCCTAACACGCCGTCGAACGCGCTAAAACTCACCGCAACCCTATTGTGTTTCAAAAGTATGAAAAGAAATTGATTAAAAAAGTTGGCATGCAAATTTACAACAAAAAATTGTACTTACAAAAATGAACGCTGTGTTTTAAAAAGTAATAACACAAAATTTGCTACTACAAAAGAATTTAATTTCTTTACAAATGCCTACAATTGTACTCAAAAAATAATTTCCTTCCATTATTTCCTCCCAACCACCAAAAATTAAACAATATGTGAAAACAAAAAATTAAAAAAAACGACAACAACCAACACCAACACTACCACAATCGCCAACAACAATTTCGACTACACCGACACCTACAAAATTATAACCACCAACACCACCACCGCCACCACCAAAACCACCACCACAATCACCAACAAAAAATAATATGCAACAAACAACCGCAACAACAATTGCAACAAATTGCATATGCAACTGCAACTGCTGCCAAAATGCTGCCGCCAACGCCTCTGCCGCCGCCACTGCTGCCGCTGCCACCATCACACCAATACCAACAACAACTACTACAAAAAAATAAAACAACCAACTCACCACTTTGACAAATCCTACAACGCGTCCAACAAACAACGCCTGCGCATATGCAACGAAAATCCATAAAAAATGGCAAAACGATGCAAACGAATTTGTATTGATTTGGGAATCGCACACACTCGTCAACGGCGCACGCTTGCAAAAAAATATTTATTAAAAACGCATTAAAATCCGTCAACAAAAACAAAACAAAAAAAAAACAAAATACACGCTCAAATAATATGTGGAATGCGCAAATGGTGTGCTGCTGCGCTTTGTTGTTATAGGTTTGCCGTGAATACTTGCGCGGCGCCTGCAAGCGCGCCGAGTCGGAGTGTCGCTTTGCGCATCCGCAGGATAGCGTCGCCAGGCACGATGACGGTTCGATAACGGTGTGCATGGATGCCGTGAAGGGCCGTTGCACGCGCGATCCGTGCCGCTACTTTCATCCCCCCTTGCACCTGCAGGCACAATTAAAAGCGGCGCAAACGCGCGCCACTGCTGTCGCTACTGCGGTATGGCTATATTGTTCTTATAAATTTACGATAATTTCAACATTTATTTTCATTTCTTATGATTTCTTCAGTTTTTATCTCTTCTATAAATTATAAATAATAAGAATGTTTATTGATTTTGATACTAAACTATTGCATACCAACTATAATACACTCAAAGAAACATATTTATCTAAAAAAATGGAATATTTCCAAGAGAAAATTAAATGAAATTATAACTGCGGTGTGGTTGTTATAGAAGGTTTTTTCGACGCATAAAAAATGTGCAGCTTACCTCAAAGAAGTTGATATAATTTTGTTATTGGTTATTAGTTGATTAGTTTAGATGAAAGTGTCTTTTACAACTTATAGCAACAAAATAAATAATTTTATTTCATACGAAAAATTGCTTTGCAGTTTTTATAGCAACCATTTTGGCTCATTATTTCCGCTAAATATTACTAAAATGCTAATGCATTCAAATAAAACCATTCCGTAATTTCTACTTGAGTATTGACATACAAAGTTTTTATTATAGCAATGAACTTTTTAATTTTTAATTAGCTAAGCATGTTTAAGAAGTGTGTTCTCTGCGATATGTATATTCATCAATGAACTCATAATACATATGATATACTCTTTTTGTTTTTCTATAAACTTGCCATAATTTTATAGCAACTCATTATTTACAGAAACTATTTCGATAACTTTAAATAAAAGTTTTAATGACTTTTGGACAACATAAAGTTGCTATAATTTTTATAGAAAGTCTAAACAAAATAAAAAACAAAAAATAATAATAGAAATACTAAGAAATATTTTTTCCTTATATAAAACCGGCCCAAAGCAAAATATTTTCACCGCAAAAACTTCAAGCTTAATAAGTTCTACACACCTTCCGAATATGTTATAATTATTAAAGTAAATAGAACAACAGAGTCTTTGACTTTCTCTATTTAATATATTAAAGTTTCTAAGGAACTGCTACACAACCACGCCGTAGGAAATTAAAAATTAACTTTTTGCTTAAATATTTTGTTTTATTGTTGTGCTCATGCTTGTTAAGTAAATGCTCAACACTAAATAATGCTTACTTACACAAATATTAACTATAAATGAGAAAAACTGTATGTATGCGAAGAGCAAATACTGCAAATATATTATGAAACTTACTACGATTCTGTGACTTAAATATTTAGCTAGCTTGTATTTGATTTTTTTGTTTTTTTTTGCCATTTATGCTCTAATCACTTTTTTTTCTGATCAAATATTTTTCTGCAGTCAATTGCTTAATTTAAGTTTATTTTACAGCTGCGAATTTGTTTATTGAATGCCTACTTGTTTCTTTCCTACTGAATTAAGATTGGAAGCAAGTCAAAATATGTATGTTTTATTTATAGGTATATATACTATGTACCGCATATACTATGCATATATGTATACTAGGTAGTTATGCAGTTTAGATTAAAAAATTATTAGTATTTAAATGCAAATAGAGAAATCCGAGAATCTTAATTTATGTAATTACTTAACTTAACTGGTTTAATTTCACAACTTAAATTTGTTTAAAATGAAATTAAAGCACTAAGTTAGGTAAACCAAGTATATAATACAATATTTTTCCTGAGATAATAAACGGTTATGTAGTTGCTATAATATTTATAGGAAGTTTATATAATAATATATGCCATGAAATTTATGGAATTTTGCTATTACAAACGTAAATATTTCGAAGATTATAATTTTATAGGAAACTATTGATCCTATAATTTAAAGATTTTCACATTAAATAGCAAGTGCAACTCTTTACGATGTGTTAAACCTTTTACACTGTTGCTACAATATTTATACGAAAAATATTTATACATATATAGAATATTCTAAAATTTTTCGATTTTACAGGATTTAATAGGCAATTATTGAATATTGTATTTTTCTAGGAAGCTGCTGCTACAATTTTTATAGAAAAAATTTGTATATAGAAAACGTCTAAATATTATTTCGTTTTTATAAGATTTAATAAGAATAGTAGAGTATTATACATTTCAATATCCAATCCAATCTATTTTTAGAACCAACAACTGCTATAATATTTAGAGATACATATATAAAGGAACATAAATGTTAAAACAGCTATAACTGTTATTATAAATTGCAAAAATTCCATACTTTTTTTATGAAACTCTTCAATTAATTTTTGAATTAAGTTACAATTTTATCGCGAAAATTTAGTAAGGTTTTATTGCAAAAAAGTGGGACAAATAACAAATTCCACAAAATACTAAATTGAAAAAATGGTCACTTTATAAAAAAAATGTTTAAGACTATCACTTAAAGAATATAGTCCGCCCTTATTCAAATGCCCGTACTTTCCAACAGAAACACTTTTCAGCAAAAATTTTTTAAAATTATAGCAAACAGCTAGACAAAATAAATTTGTGTTCTTAAACGCCGACTTCATTTAGTAATATGCCTGCACCAAAAATTTACTATACTCACATCCACCTGGGCAACAGCGTTATACGCACGTAATAATAATGTGGCTAATTTGCAAAATATGCGCGCCAACGCCGAAAATTATGCTATAAATAATATAATGCAGTTAAAATGATAATATCTGTCGAGCGCGCTAAATTGCATATCCATATATATAAACTCCAAGCTAACCCGCACATATACACACATACCTTTGAAGTGAGTTTGTGTATATGTGGAGTATAAAATTTCAACTATCACTTACATTAATTGAACTGCATTAATCGCATTAATAGCAGCAATTATGGTGCGCTTGTATCCACATAAACTCACACATACAAACATATATGCATGTATAAGTATGCATGTGTGTGTACATATGCAGATTATATCAACTGTTTACAGTATGTGTGAATGGCTTCCACCATTTTGTCGACAAACAAAATGAAGTTTTGCACAACTTTTGCAAAGGTAAATAAATAAAACATAAATTCAGGCGCCACGGCATGGAGTATACGCTACACTATGCTGTTATCACTGTGTCGGTGTCTATAGCGCAATTATGTGGCTATGTAAACGTAAAGCACATAGCTGTCTGTTGTTGTTGATTTTGTTGTACGCATAAGCGCGCCAACGTTTTACGCAGGCTATAAATGTTGATTTTCGCTTTTGATAAATTAACATTTATTACAGCACATCGGTGGCCCAACACATATGCAACGAAGGTTATATACATGGAAATATATATAAATATAAATAAGTATATATACATATACTAATTATAGCAGTGACTTCAAAGGTAGTCAAACCAGACAGCATATATACAATATAAGTATACAAATACATATGTGCACAATACGGTATTACTACAACCTGTATCGCCACGCAAACAGTTAATGCCGGCGCGCGCTTAATTGCTTCGGTTGAAATTTATATGCTACACGTAATTGCCGCGTAATATGCGCGTACGCGTATGAAAAATCATTGCAGCATTTTAGGCAATTTCCAACACATACAGATGTAGAATGTACTCAGCGAACGGATACTGCTGGGCGGACGAACGTATGTTCAAAGTAGCAATAAATAAGCTTTTTATTGTAATTTGCGACTTAACGGTTCGTTGTTGTCGCTCTAACACTCCGCCTTGAGTCTTTGGACGCCTGTTTGTACGCTTGTGATATGTGCACGTGATCGGGTGGCATGCTAAAGGGATTTCCGTTTTCACGCCGCAATGCGATATAGATGTCAACAACAACAACAGCATGAGCAAATTGTAGCAATAATAGCTAAAACAAAGCAACAACAATCATATGTATATATATACATATGAAGAGGGCGCTGAACCTTAAACGGATGTTTTACAAACATATTTGTTGATTAAGAGCGCACATTGTTCAGAAAATTAATAATTTTTTTATTTTATGGGAACTGTTATAGCTGTAAAATCATTTTGCTTTCCCTTAAATTGTGGATTATTTTATGTTTGGTACTACAAAAACTTACTATAGAGGTATTCCAGATATAATATATATATAATAATATTTTCATGCTACTTTTGAAGTGTGCTATAATATAATATAATCTCCATAYTTTTAGGTGTAATATATTTTTATAGCAAGTCGAATTCTTCTTCTTTCTATGCCTGCGTAGACACCGCTTACGTGATTATAGCCAGGTTAACAACAGCGCGCCAGTCGTTTCTTCTTTTCGCTACGTGGAGCCAATTGGATACTTCAAGCGAAGCCAGGTCCTTGTCCACTTGGTCCTTCCAACGGAGTGGAGGTCTTCCTTTTCCTCTGCGTACTGCGTCGAATACTTTCAGAACTGTAATGTTTTCGTCCATTTGGACAACATGACGTAGCCAGCGTTGCCGCTGTCTTTTAATTCGCCGAACTATGTCAATGTCCTCATATATCTCATACAGCTCATCGTTCCCTCGAATGCGATATTCGCCGAGGCCAACGCGCAAAGGACCATAAATCTTTCGCAGAACTTTTTTCTCGAAATCTCGCAACGTCGACTCATCAGTTGTTGTCATTTTCCAAGCCTCTGCACCATTTAGCAGGACGGGAATTTTGAGTGACATATTGAGTTTGGTTTTGGTTCGTCGAAAGATAACCTTGCTTCTCAATGGCCTACTCAGTCCGAAGTAGCACCTGTTGTCAAGAGTTATCCTGCATCGAATTTTCAGGCTGGCATTGTTGCTGGTGTTTACGCTGGTTCCAAGATAGACAAAATTATCTACGACTTCAAAGTTATGACTGTCAACAGTGACGTGAGAGCCTAGTCGCGAGTGCGACGACTATTTGTTTGATGACAGGASATATTTCGTCTTGCCCTCGTTCACTGCCATACCCATTTGTGTTGCTTCCTTGTCCAGTCTGGAGAAAGCAGAACTAACGGCGCGGGTGTTGAGTCCAATGATATCAATATCATCGGCATACCCCAGCGGCTGTACACTCTTGTAGAAGATGGTACCTTCTCTATTTAGTTCTGCAGCTCGAATTATTTTCTCCAGAAGCAGGTTGGAAAAGTCGCACGATAGG